CCAAACCAAACCAAACCAAACCAAACCAAACCAAACCAAACCAAACCTAACCTAACCAAGAATGTAAAATACGTGGCCTGAGATTTATAATATACCCAAAGATTTAGAAATGTCTGATTTTAACGCGTCGATGTACCCAAAAATCGTGCGACGCGCAACAAATCCCGAGGTAGCAAAAATCTCGAAAGATGCGGAAGGGAGGAACGAGAGTCAAGAACGACTTGAGGAAACCGGAAAAAGGACGAGGGAGACACGAGAAAGGTATGGCGGAAAGTAAGTATCGTAACCACATTATATTAGTATAGTATGCAGTGTGGAAGAGAAAGTATACGCAGACAGCAGTGCCGGAAGCCCGAGAGAAACCGAAGAAAGAAGGGCGGAAAGAAGAGCGGAAGAGAACCAAAGAAGCGCGCGAGGAAGTCAGAGTCTGCCAAAAAGAAGAAAAAAGGGAAAAGAAAAACGAAGACTACCGCGCTTGGACGGTGAGGGTGAAATGTATATGAATGGTATAACAATGGTCTGATTGTACGCTGCTGGACAGTATGTAATACCACTAAATACGAGTATATATACAGTACACATCATTGTTGATAACAGGGGTGTAGCGATAAAATAAAATAAAAACCGATGGTAAAACAAAAGGCAAGATTTCAAGATTTTCTCCAACATTTATTTCACACAAGAGATCATCCCGGAATATTCTCCTTTTCTGGCCCAAAGATACCGGCTACACCCCTGATCGATAAGTATAAAACAGTTAAGTGTTGATGATGCACGTGTGAGTGTCGCGTATTATTATCTCCTCAGCGAAAAGGAATAAGCGAGTAACGGGGCCCCGTTTCTCGCGTCGGCAGATTCATATCCGATTTTCCCCGATCGGTATTCCGGCGCCTAATCTGAATTGTTTGGTCGGTCGTTACGATTACAACACTCACAGATAATTTCGTGAGAGAAAAAAGAATGATTTCAAGATAGACTGGAGTGCTTCCGCTCAGGGTTAATGGCTGTATCAGTATAGGAATCGAGAAGTTAGAGAACGAGGCGAGCAATAAAGTTATAATGGATGCCGAAAAGTCGCTTCTCGACGGATTAGAGCAAAAAGCGTAACATTTTTCGAATTACGGGAAATCGACTGCCTCGGAATCGGAGTCCTGCTACCAGTCCCCTTCCCCAGAAGCAATCTGTATGCAGGACATGTCAGAAATACGCGATGATATTTCAGAGCGATGCGCGATGGTCGTGAACAGATGTGTGAGGCGGAGAGATGCGCGTGCAGGAAAACGATACTTCCGTCCATTAGCAAAACCGCGCGAGCTATCGCTCGCAATTGCCACGCTCATGAGATATCGTCGCGTATTAATCGCACGGCGGATAAGAAGAGTATTCTCCGTGTCTTCCCCGCTATATAAACACCCGGCCCGACAGTCTAATTATTTTAATTCTACGTAGCAGAAGCGAGGCGTTTTGAGAATTAATAACAGCAGTACGTAAAAAACCGAGGGGGATCAATCGGTACTTGTTATCTTTTAGGTATCGTTTACAAGGTCTCCAATATTTTTAGTTTGACGAGGCAAGGGATCGGCAAATATTTATAGCAACGAAATCATAAGTACGGATGAGTACTATTCTTATCCCCGGTACCCCGGTACGTTCTGTGCACACTGTAAAATGTTGATATTTTTTATATCGCCGGTTGTCGCTTCCAGTGTCGGCCGGGACCGGCGTAACGGCCACGAGGGCCGCGCACGCCAGGATCTCTTTCGTACGTTCTTTCGAAATTTTTCTCTTTCCTCTCGCGCAAAACTCTCTATTTATTTATGTTAGATGCTTGAGTGAAGTGGCTTACCGCCTTGCTCGTCCAGCATTACGAGGGATTTCATCCCGACCTCGTGGCTCTAAACAGGCAACCGACAGGCAATCAGGCGGCGTGTTAAACATCGAGGAAAAGTTAATCGCCGTCAGGACGCTCCCTCGCCTCCGCGGTGATTCTCACCCCTTCCCCCCCAATAAAAGAGAAAAGGTTCTCCCCGCAAAACATTCACCGATACCGAACGCGGGTAAAAACGAGGGAGAGACGTGAGGCAGAAAGATAATGATGGAGAAAGAGATAGAGATGAGAATGTCGGAGTGGCGAGAGGGCGCGAACGACGAGTTTCGACCTCAGCTAATTAATCTATTATGCATATCAGGAGGGTGGATGGATGAGGGTGGATGACGACGTAACGCTTGACAGTTGGCGGTAAATGCTGACACGTGGCAAAAATAGGATTCAACGATAAAAAAGAGGAGGGAATTTTAGAAATGATGAGGAGGGGACGAGTACAAAGAAAAGTTCACCCGATTACTTTTATTCTTAATTAATTAATCTGATTATTCAGGAGGAATATCTAATTATAATTTTAGGAGGATTGGATGAACGAAGACGCAGTCACGTTTTTACGCTAAGTATAATTAGTAGCAATTATAATTTGTTAAGATCTAAAGAGGGTGGCGACAAGAGTGGCGATGTGTAGATTTTCACCTGGCTGAGTATTCGATGAAAGGTCCTGGTAATTAATAGAAAATGCGTAGATTTCGTGCTAATTATACTTCCTGCGAATCCTAGAGGATGAATGGAAAATTCAGTCATGAGTAGGAGGGGCCTAAAAGCAAGCGATACTTTATAAACACTGGAGAATGAAAAGTGAGATGAGACAAAAATGGAATAAACCTACGCAGTTTTTCGTAACATTTTCATGAATTCAATGTTGATAATCTTTCGCACTTACGTATATAAAGAACAAGTTTTCTCCACTTCTGTGAAGTTAACACTTCAATTTTGGAATTTTGATGTAATTGATGGAATTGAGTTCTAGCCTTTCCCTAAAGAGTTCTAGAGGTCTTGAAGGGTTCTAGTGATTTAACCCAAAAAAAGAGCGGTTCGAAGTTTTGGGGTGCCAACTTCACGATTCATGATTCGAAAATTGACGATAATAATTTTTTAATTTTAATCTGAATCGATCTTGTGTCTTAATACTTTTCGATGGAACTCTTGAGGTGCTATATAGAAATAAAAAAAAAAAAACAGTTAAAAAAAATCTTTTTTCCGAACTTAAAAATTTCTCAATTAGGCTAGAACTCTTTTTGTAACCTATCAGGAACTCTAAAACTCTTTAGGAAAGGGCTAGAACTCCATCAATTACATTAAAATTCCAAAATTAAGGTGTTAACTTCACAGAAGTATTTTCTCCAACAATATGCTTTTCGTTGCGAGTGATAAATATCAGATTTCTGAGTGCGAACGATTCCGCCAAGTGATAATTCCGCACTTCAAAGAAGTAAATGGACATCAGAGCAGAGCAAAGCCAAAGAGGAAGTGGCGAAGGCGAGAAAGACAGAGAGAGAGAGACAGAAGTGCCGAAAAAGGTAAAAGGATAGCGGCATACTCTGCCGACGAGTGTCCCGCGCAATAAACATCGATAGAGTATCATGCCACTGAAAGATACGGTACTGGAGATACGGTATCGGGGAGATCGGGGGACAAGATCGGGGTAACGAATGGAGTTCCGTCGGGTGCCCTAATACTAGGTGGGACCCTAAAAGCGACAATGTCGCTAAAGTATTATAAGTTTGACATCGACGGGACGTCATTGATCTTTCGACTCATCCGCTGACGACGCGAGAGAGCCGCTCTCGTCATCGCGGGATCCTCGCTCGTTTGCATAAAAAATAAATAAATAAATCTCACACTAATTAATGAAATCAAAATACAATTGAGGTATTTCTCAATTGCAGACACGCAAACAAGATCCTGGAATGTTCGAGGACGAGCGATCATCCAGTTGACCGTTCGCAGTCGATTCTTCATTTCGCGTGACTCTATCGGGATTCCGCGGTAATAATCACAACATCAGAAGCATGCCCTTCCTGAAGGGAAACGCAAATTAACAGCTAATGAAGGCCGTCCTACGCTTCGCACCTTTTCCCTTTTTTCCATCGGCTTTTTCCCCCTCTTTTCTCCGCTTGTTATGCGTTATTCTTCTTATTCTTCCTTATATCGATGTATATATGATATTTTGTACTCATTGAACTATCGCATCGCTTGCTCGTTCTTCGCAGGATAGAGAGATAAAGAGAAAGAGAGAGAGAGAGAGAAAAAGACAACGACTTATTGGTGTTTACTGGGAGACTGCTTACCGCCTTGGTGGTCTAACATCGTCAGAGTGTTCGCTCCGATCTCCTCGCTCTACGACAGGTTCGAAGGTGCCACACATTAACGGAAACGAAAGAATCGTTTTTCTCAGTAGATGCGTGCGAGAATTAACTGCGGAACAAAGTCACAGACAAGAAAGCAACAAAATCGCACGGACACGTCCCATCGAGTCAGAAACGGTGACTTTTATGCGGGAACAGAATCATTCGTAATAGTAATATAATTCAATTATAAGACTGCTAATTCGCCAATCGTTTGCCGCAACTTTACCGCAAGTTGCGTTTGTCAGTGTATAAAAAAAAAATTTTCCGGAATCTGGAAAATGGTGCCCCTCGACAGAACGTGCCGTGCGTAATGAACAGATAATAATATATCCATTGACGTCAAACGAATAGGTAATATAATAAGGAATTATAATAACAATAATAATAAATAATAATAATAATAATGTTAAAAATAGTAAGAAGGTTAATAAGAACGATGAGAGAACTGAAATGAAAATTCAGAAGCAGATCTTGTGATATCTCTGCCAATTATACGTACATAATCCCCTAATCGCAACGATGTAACCATAATCGCTCACCCCCTTCTTCATAGACCGATTGCAGTCATGCTGTTTTATAGTGCTATTAATTATTTGATCATTAACTATTTTTTATATTAATAACAGATTCTCTTAAGAAACGACGAATCACTAACGACAGTTATTCGGATAATCCGAATTCTCGAAAAGTGTTCGATTTAACAACCGAGAGGCCTGCATCAAGCTATTCCAATTTCTCAATTATCAGTTCTAATTGAATCTCCCTCGCACCGCAATTATGATTAATCAGCCACGACTGCAACCGGTTTCTGCATTTATCGCTTACGTTAGAAATTATAGAGAGAATAGGGAGATAACAACGATAACGAACATTGATGTCGACGATATTAAGAGTAATGACGACTGATGAGACGATCTAATCCTAAAGGAGCGTAAATAGACGAGATGCGTCGGCGACGTTGAGAAAGAGAAAGAGAGAGAGATGATTGATTGGCGAACTAGAGACGCCGCCTCCGGAAGAGCTTTCTCCGTGAATAAGAAATAGAAGTAAAAATTATTAGATTAAGGGGTAACGCCACTCTAGAGTCCCCCCAAAAAAGCCAATTTTTGATAATTTTTTTCAGAAATACAATAATCATGAATGAAAATCGGTTTAATTCTATTTATTATCTATATATTAAAGTATAAAAAAAATTTTTTTATTAATTATTTATTGCCAAAATGGCGGCACCAGAGCCATTGCTCCAAAGTGCCTTTTTGCGGAAGGCGTCCAACGGGCGGAATCAAAGCTCCTATAATTTCTGAGCTGGAACAAAAATTCAAAGATTTTTGAAAAATATATAAGTTTTTCTATAGAAGTACCTAGGGGAATTGCGAAATATCATTTTTTGTAAGAATGGTGCATGTTGGAAAAAAGTGCTTCATTTTTCGCTAAAAAATGTCGCACAAAATTGTTTATAAAAAAAGTTTTGTTCAACTTATCGCAAAATCCTTAGGTACTTCTAAAGATAATGTTATTGCAAAGTTTCACTCAAAATTTCAAGTCAATCGGATAAAAGATGTTCGAGTTCTGATTCCGCCCGACTTTAAAAAAGCGATTTCGAGAAAAACGCGTTTAAAGTTTCAGTTTCACCATTCACAGATGTGAACGCGGCGGCAGACGGATTACAAAAAAGGGATAATAGAGATTTTCCCGAGCTTTGAAACCAAGTGTACCTTATTTCTAAGACCTTAAAGCATCGTTTAACAAAAAAAATCGATTTTTTGAAAATTCTAGAGTGGCTTTACCCCTTAAATCAGATTGCTTCTTGCTTATTTCCCTAGAGTAGAAAAATCAACCTTCCAAGATAATCTTTCAAGAAGAGTCGTAAAGCGAGCTTAAAAATGAGAAAGTGATTGGCTATTGCAAAAAAATTGAACATTTTTCGGGATAATTCTAATAATTTTCACGCTTTCGCGTGTTCTTTCCAATGTGACAACGCAGACGATAATAAATCGCATCTCAAACGACCGTCGCCGACGCGTTTCTCGAGAGTCGAATACGTCTTAGGCGAATACATAGCTAGCCGGCCAGGATGACGATGACGACGATGATGATAATGACGATAATGATGGTCACTGCTAATTACTCTCGCTAATCGTGCTAATTGGCGATTAGCGTGATTGGCGCGATCGCGCCGAGCGGAGTTTCTTTGCGACATCTCGCTTTTTTGTTAATCTATTTCGTTCCGAGCTCTCAATTAGACGATTGATTCTCGATTCTCATACACGTTTTATTTATATATCAGTACACATATAATTTCTTCTGATAACGTATATACACCGCGCACATTACATTTCGGCCAGCGACTCAAAGACAAAGCGGGAACAGTATCTACTTTGGTAAGACGACGGCCGACAGAGAGTAGTTGCATGTTCAATGCACAGATTGCAAAAAAAAAAGAAACAAGAAGAGATACAGAGAAACAAAAAATAGACAGATATAGAGAGAGAGAGAGGAAGTGAGAGAGAAGAGAACAGGTCAAGAGAGAGGAGAGGAATAAAACAAGTTACGACAGACAGATATCTACTGTCATAAGCGTTTACGGAGAGTTACGGAGTATATACTTTCTTGATATGTACAGTTTGGGATAGAAAGGTTGCCCGGTTAAGTTTCGGAATGCTTCCTATTTGTATTTAATATCCATCCACTATATCAGCAATTACCAATTATTTTAACATTTCAATATATTTGACATCTTGTTTGTCTGCTCTTATAATGAATCAAGCTGTGTGCATTAATGCTCATCCACTTCCAAATGGGGTGCGTTCTGAAACTCAACCAGACAACCTTTCTGTCCCCAACTGTACACTCAATAGACAAATACATGTTAATATATACATACATAAAAAGATACATATGTATGTAGTTATAAATATATATTGTGTATATACATAAATTTCTTTTTTTTTTACATGTAGACTGAAAGCGACACAGCTGTAAGCTTCGCGAGTGGCTACAGTATACAGTGTACAGTAAAGAGATAAAGTACACAGTCCAGAGAATTACAGCGTGTATCTTGTGGAGTGTGGATCGATCGGGCTAATTGCGACACGAGCGCGACATCGTGACACTTTCAATGATTAACGAGACAGATGACGAAAGTGAGGCTGAAATCAATATTCGCTCATAATCGCTTTATAGCGACCAGAAATCACTTTATGATATATCGATTGCTTAATTGATGACGGCTATTACCGCCGAGGATTATGACGATAATGATTACGGTTTTGCGTAATATTATATCAACATAGTTTGTCTTGTTGCGCTAGAAGTAAGTTAGTTACGTAAACTATCATATAGAATGTAGGTTATTACTTCCTATAAATTCTACTGGCTCTAGAATGAAATAATACAATAATGCACTTGCGATTATCAAAAACTGTCGCGATGCCTAATTCCTAAGACCGTCCTAATTATTCCGATATGTCCCGTATACGAAAGCAGACGCAATGACAGTTGGATAGATGAAATTGTACTCGGTACACTTTTAAATTTCATCATATCTGCGAAAGAGTATGAAAGGCCGCGAGAGGAAATTTCGAAAGCAGACCATTCCCACACGTTAGATGCCATTGTTGTATTTCGTTACACGCGAACGCATCTAGCGTTTCGTTTGGATGACAGAAAGTATCTGAGACTTTCTACACGGAGAGGGAGAGGGAGAGTGAATGAATGAGTAAGTGAGAAAGAGAGAGAGAGAGAAAAGGGCGCGAGAGAGATGGAAGGACGAAGATGAGTATTTGAGTGTATAGGTAACCGATTTATCAGAGAAAAAGGCGAGGTAGAAAACAGAAACAAATCGATCACAATCGAATATACTATCTGAACAACAGCTGTTAATAATACACGAGAGCAAGTCCGATCTCGTTAAGCGGTTCCTACAAGTGACCCAACAGTTTGCGCAACAATAAGGAAAAAGGACGGAAAAATTATAGTAAGACCAACACCAGGAATTTAAAAATCGGTACTAAGATAAAGATACATATTAAGAAATAAAGATTGCCAAAATATCGATTCGTTAATATATATTAGTAAGGTATCAATGCAAAGTTGATGCAATGGTTTGTTTATGTAATAATGATGTCCGTTTGCGTGACAGCAATTGCCGCGCAGATTGTTAGATCGTGTATGAGCCGTTTCGCATCAACACTGGCAAGTAGCGGCGGCGATAGCAGCAGCAGTAACAGCAGCAGCGGCAGCAGCAGCAGCGATGACTGATTCATTTTCAGCTGGAGGTCCATTTTCACGTCATGTATATGTATGTCGTGAGAATTTTTGTCTATATAACGTTAGATTTCTTTAATGTCTGTGGTGGTGAGACATGTGGTGGCGCACAGGGTAAAAACGGGCCTGAATAATTCACGTTGTAGTTGCACGAGTCGCACTCGTCGGATCGTCAGGAAAAAGTTTTCTATACGCTAAAATTTAACGGAATCGAAAACGGATCCTCTCGATTTCAGTCAAAGACAATAGTACCTATACATATTATACGTGGAAAAGCACCTGACTTGATTTTTTACGCGAATAATCGTTAAAAAAATTAACTCTATACTTTCAAAATATTTAACAATTTTGAATGGAATTGCATTTTTTGAGTTTACTGAAAATTTCCTTCGACGACCGAAGGTGCAGTCGAGACATAGTGTAGTACAAGAAGTAACGTCAGTAATATCAGCAGTATCAGTAGTGTCAGTGATGGCAATGGTGTTGTAATCAGTATAGTAATCGTAGTAGATCCGGCAGTAATGATATACAACTGGTGCAGTGGCAGTTGGCTGTCGATCTCCCTAATCGAGTTTGCTAATCGAGCGCGACACGATTTTCATTGTTGATGTTCTATTATGACGTAAGGACTCCGCGAATTATCTCCGTCTTCTTAGGAGACGTAAAGGCGATTAGGGGGTAAAGCTAAAGCGGAACCAACCGTCGGGTTAGCGCCCCGTTAGA